AAGTACCCCAACCCATATCCATCAGTTTGTTGTACTGTAGTGGTCTGAGTACTGCTATGATGCTGAAAGTTATGTCTTTGGTGTAACACGTTTCAATGAAGCTTCTAGACTAAGACTAGGAAGAAAGGCCTGGCAATCTACTACCAAAAATCAGCCAATGAAAACCCTATGGATCACAACAGAATACTGCTGGACAGTGCTGGAAGATGAGCCCCCTAGGTTGGGAATCACACAAAATACACAATGACCACACCAAAGGATTCAAGCATACCAGTGATCATGAAGAAGGTGCAGGATAAGGCAACATTTCACCTTATTGTACACGGAGTCACCAAGAGTCAGAGCTGACTAAATAGTAGTTAATGATAATAAAGTGGCCTAGCAGTTGGGAGAGGAGATGGGGAAGTTCCTGAGGGGCTCCTGTTGCTTAGAGGGGGGTGAAGCATCTGCAGCCTTTTCCAGTACACAGAGACATCTCCCACTAGGGAAGAGAGGGGCTCCTCTGCACCTCCAGAGGGTCCAGAGTGGTCTGGATCCAGCAACCTCAGGGCATCAGTCCTGATGTGCCCATCCATGTTCAGGATTCCAGGTTCAACATCAGGGCCCTGAACATCACACAACAGTCCTCAGCTGAGCAGTCAGACATTTCTGGAGTTCTGTGGCTCCACAAACAACAGCTCTGGTTGTGCTGTAGTTAAGGCTCCGGGCTGCTAACTGAAAGGTTGGCAGTTTGAACTAACCAGCTACTCCACAGAAGAAAGATGAAGCAGTTTGCCTCAGTAATGATTTACAGCCTTGAAAACTCAATGGGGGTTGCTAGGAGTTGTAATCGACTCAATGGCAATGAGTCTGGAGTTGGTGGCTCCATAAGCAGGTCTCCAGCCTGCTGCTGGCTGTGTCTGCTCTTCCACTGCAGGACACAGGCACCTCCATGCGTGCTGCCACAAGCTCCCCTGGCTCTCATTCTTAGCCATGAATTACTTGTTAACAGCTCCCAGTCTCATATTATTCTTCTGCAAAGAATCAACACAACTTAGTAGCAACCAACTATTATGAACTGAATTGTGTCCTCCCAGAAAAGGTATGTTGCCATCCTAACCACAGTGCCTATGAATGCAACCTTGTTGGAAATAGGGTCTCTGAAGATGATATCAGTTGGGTTAATATGAGGTCATACTGAAGTAGGGTGGGTCCTGATCCTGTATGAGTGATGTCCTTATAAAAGAGAAGACACACAAGAGGGAAATGTCAAGTGACCACAGAGGCTGAATTGCAGTGATGCATAGGAAAAAGGCACAATCATATTCTTCCTCAGAGCCCTCAGAAGAATCAACACAGCTGACACCATGACATCAGACTCCCAGCCCTCAGAACAGTAAGACAATAAACTTCTCTTCTTAAGCCAGCCTGTTAGTCATACATTGTACTAGCAGCCCTGGGAGATGAATGCACCAGGCACCTCTCCTATCTTGCAGGCAACTGTCCACAAATGTCCTTTTCAAATGTCTCATCACTGCACTGTCACAACTTTCCCTGTCACCAGGACATTTTTGCAGGTCTCCACTGGTTAAATCGTCAGCAATTGTGCTGCCTCCTTGTGGCAGAGACTATCTGTGCCCCAACCATCACCCAGGACAGGCCAGCCTCCTTTTCACCAGCTGGGAGTGGTGAGTCTGAACAAATCCCCATACTATGGTGTTCCTGGGTGCCACTTGTGTTAAATCTGGGTTTTCCTTAAAAAAGAGGTCACAGTGGTATTAAATATGAAGAATTTGATTAGGGGAGATGCCTGTGACAGAAACTGGAGAGCAAGCAAAACTGAAGAGTCATCAACACAGTGTCCAACCTTGAGGGAAGGAGGAGAGAGGCTGGGCAAAAATATCCCAGACTGAGTGTAGTCTAAAGGGAATTTGGCTAGACTGTTGGGGAGCCCTTGCCTCTAAGGCTGTCAGGAGTCCAGTGTCTCTGGGGCAGGTCTCCCTTGGTGTCAGTCTAGTGCTCTGTCATTGGCTAGGAGCAGCCAGGAGGAGAAGTGGCTTGGATTTCAGAGTGCATTGGATTTCAGAGTGCAGCAGCTGGAAGTTTATAAGAGCCCCCGCCTAGGATGTCTCCCTCCCAAACAGACATCTTCTCTATTCACCAGGGTCCCAGCACCTCAAAAAGTACCCAGCACATAGCATAGAAGAGGCACAAAAAGTCACCACTGAATGGACAGACAACGAATGGCAGGCACGATAGCGAAGCTGTGTGTTTGCTCAGCAGTGGCACCCTCTGGATGCAGGTCCTGCTGCCTCCTCCCTGTCTTTGGAAAGTCAGCAGCCTTGGTGCTCACCTGCTCCTGGCTCACCCTGTCGAACACGAACTCCCACCCTCCGTGTGAAATGATGTTGCTATTGCGCTGTGTGCCTATGTTTGCTGTTAGCCTCAGGGAAATGGGACTGGACCTACATCTTGCTCTCAAGCCTGTTTCTCCTCACTGAAAAGGAACTTGGGCACCTCCTACAGGGGACTCAGGGCCCAGACTGGGGACCTGACTGGAGGGAGATGATCTCAGAGCCAGGGTCATGACCTGAGACATACACTGGAGGCCCTGTGGAGTTCAGGCTGTCCTAGGTTCAACCATGACCCTAACACTCACTCACCATGGTGCCCTGTGAAAATCCCTGGTTCTCTTAGAGGACCTGTTTCTGTGTCACAGAATGCCAGAAGGATTGAACCTTATGATGTTTATGAATAAGAAAAATAGCCTCCCTATAGCTTCAGCAAAAACGGTAGATTTACAGTTGATGTTAGCTGCTGTTGAATCCATTCTGACTCATGGTGACCACATGTGTACAGGATAGAACTGTATTCCATAGTTTTCAAGGCTGTGACCTCTGGAAGCAGATCAGCAGGCCTTTCTTCTGAGGGAACTCTGGTAGACTCAAACCTCCAATCTTCCAGTTATCAGCTGAGCACATTAACCATTTGCACCACAGAGGGACACCTTTAAAATCTTTGGAACATGGAATTCTAGAAAAATTGAGCCTTAGAAACTCTAAGGTCAGAAGGAAATGTTTTCTGAGAGCCCACATATACACTGGGCTGGATGCCTTATGTATCTGCCCAATTTATCTACATGGCAGGCCTGTGGGGAGAAAGTGCCCTGTTCACAGACAAGGTGAAGTCACTTGCCCAAGGCCACATGGGAAAAGCATGGACAGGAGGATCATGAAGAAGCAGGACAACTGCCCCATGCCCTGTGACATCCTTAACCCTGAACCTTCTCCTCCCTCCTGAATGGAATCTTGTTTCTTACTATCTGATCCAGTGGTCCTGGACAAGATTATTAGTTCTGGGTCCCTGTACCAGGAAACTGAGATGCAGCTGGGCCAAGGAAAAAGACCTTGTTTCTGCTGCTCATCCTCAGAGCAGGACAAGGGAAGAGGAGGAGGGGAAGAGCCAAGAGGCACAGGCTGCAGCCACCTCCCCATCCCAAGCAGGCAGACGAGCAAATAGCCTTCATTTGGCCCATCTTAAAATCAAGAGGTTTTACATTGAAGTGTAGTTTGGCAAGCTGTCTTGAAAGACCAGAATACCTGGCTATTTGAGCCCAAGTCCACAGAAGGCATTGTCACTGGAGCCTCACAATCATCCCTTCACACAGCACAGTACCCTACTCTCTGGTTGCCCCAGTCCAACTGGCTTTCTCACCCTCAGTTCTTACTGCTCACAGTAAGAGATTCATTTTATATCACACACTAGAGCTGCTATGTACCCAAATATGTGTGTTTTACACATGCACACATGTGTACAAACAGACACAGCCATTGTTCTGTGAACCAATTCTTAACTTTTCCTAAATGTATAGCACTGTGATGTTGTCTATTTTATTTCATTTTCTTAAGCACTGGTTTTAACACACTACACTGATCTCAAGACAAGTGGAATGGCAGCATGCAGTGTGAAACCCACCAGCTTGGAGAAATAGCCAGGAGCAGGGCAATGGCACATGCATAGGGTTCTCACATTTGGCTCCAGAGGTGTGTTCTGACTTGCAGTGTACCTTGGACATGTTCCTTCCCCCTCAGAACCTCAGTTTCCCCAGTTCCAACAGTCCCCTTTGCCCCAGCTTAAAGGTCCCAGAATCCTGCACTAGAGAAGGAAAGCTGAGTTCTCACTTCCTCTAGGCTCCAGCTCCAGTCCACTGTCTGACCTAAAGGACCAGGATTGGAGACCTGGAGGCCATCCAAAGTGACAGATTAGTAGAGATCTACACTGGGGAAGAGGAAGGAGGAGCAGAAGTAGTTAGAGTAGAAAGCATCACAAAATGAGCATCTGTCTGCATTTCTACTCTCCCACCCCCAGGGTGAGCTTTTTCAGGCTAATTATCTGTGCAAGACATCAAGAAGCCAGGCTAGAGACTATGTGACATTGAGAATCATTGTCAAACTCAAACACGTAAATGTAAGGGACCAGGAGGTTTTTATTTGAGTATTTTTCACAATGCACATGTGCTACTTTTATAGATTAAAAACAAACAAACAAACAAAAAGAAAAAACCTTACAATGATTTCTTTAAAAAAGGTAAATACCTAATCACAGTGGAAGATGAAATGAAATGTCCACTTTGGGACAGGTCATCCAGTTGAGTCCAAAAGCCCCAACGTGGTCATTTGTTTCCTTTCTGCAGTAGTCATCCAGTCTTTATCTTCAACTCCACCTGAAGGGCCCAGGTAGTGACCTTGAAGCTGTCCTCGAAGCTCCAACTCAACATGCATGTTAAGACACACCTCTCACTGAAAACTCCACATGGGGCATTCAAGAGGCCCAGGAACCCAAGAGGAATCAAGTCAGTAAAATTAAGTTAATTTATGAAGTTATAGTAAAAACCACCACAATAATAACCCAACTCGACCAGTGCTGTTTAGAAATAAAAATGAGAGCTTGCCTGGTGCAGCAAAGGCAGCAGCCCAGGGCACAGAGCATGGGGCTACTAGAGGGGCCTGAGGCCTTGTTGGCCTGCAGTGTGGCCAGCCTCACAGGGCAAAGGTGGTGAAGAAAATGTGCATCTTGGCCAGGAAGGTGGTGACAGAGCCCTGCCGCCACAGCTTCATCTCCACCTCCAGGGCAAAGTCCCGGGGCTCACGCACAGAACGCTGCAGGAAGACAACACCTGTGTAGGCATTGAGCCGGCGTGTGCCAAAGTAGCCTTCTTCATTGCCCTTGGTGATGGTCAGGGAGATGGTGTCCCCTGTGAAGGCGGGTGCTGGGCTGATGCGGAAGATATGCACTGGCACCAGAAGGCCTGTCTGGAAGCTGAGCTGGTAGTAAGTGATGCGTGCTGGTGAGTTCTGGCACTTCACCAAGTCATGGCACGTGGTGCGCTCACACTTCCTGCAAGGACAGCAGGTTGGGCAGGGCATGGTCAGCAGCGCCCCAAGAGGCATGTTTGCTCCCAGGCCCTCCCACGCCTGACTATCCACCCCCACCCACTCCTTCCATTCCTGTGCATATTATTGGGCCTCAGTGCAAATTCAGATGCCACCTCTACCACTTACTACCAGGACCAGTTGCTATGGAGTCAACTTTGATGAATGACAACCTTATGGATGTTAGAATAGAACTGTGCTCCACAGGGTTTTCGATGGCTGATCTTTCAGTAGGCTGCCTGCACTTTTTTCGCTGGGTGGATTTGAACTTCCAATCTTTTGGTTAGCAGTTGAGTGCTTAATCGTTTGTGTCACTGAGGGACTTGATCACTTACCAGCCAGTAGTAAGTCACATCACCTCTTAGGTCTCAGTTTGCTCATCTGTAAGATGAGGCTAATAACAACCTCATGGTTTCATTGGAGGATGGGGCAAGTTTAAACACACAGAGCTTAACACAGTGTCTGATATGGTTTATTAGCAGCTCTTGTCCATTTACACATATGCTCCTTCCTTCTTCCCTTCTTTCCTCCCTCCTTCTCTTTCTCCCTTCCTCTCTCCTCCCTCCCTTCCCTTCCTTCCTCCTTCCTTCCTTCCATCTATCCATCTACCCACCCATGCCTTCATCCATCCACCCATCCATCCATCCTTCATTTCTACCTTTCTTCATTCCTAACTTCCTACTCACCTTCCTTTTTATTGCCCTTCCTTTTAAAAAAAAATCTTGCACACTTCTCAGCTGTATGGATTCTCTGGCTATGGTAGTTTTATTGTTTTAATTATTTTAAAATTCCATTTCTTCCACAACAGGTTCCTTTTGAGTCATTTGCTCTTCTGACTTAGGAGGAGCTGCCAGAAGGAAGCCTCTCTGAGCATCAGGCTAAGTGGCACCTGCTCCTGCTAGAAGCCTAGAGGCTCGGCCATACTACGTGGCAATGAGGAGAGAACATTTGCCAACCCTCCAAGGTAGCCAAGGTTTTAGATTTCTAAGCACTCACAGCCAGAGTTCGGTCTCTTTCTGGCCCTGTGAGCCACTGTGATCCCCATTATTAAATCGCTGCCTAAAAAAACACCCTACTTCCAAAAAAATATGCTGCTCAGGCATTGAGGGGTTCAGGAGCCTTGTAAGACTGCCCAGAATGTAGTTACCTGACTGGCACCACCACAAGTAGCAACCACAACCACAGCATTTATTCCAGTCCAGGCACTGTGCTAAGACGTGACATGAATCTTCACAAGCCCTGCCTGGGCTGTGCTATTACCATCCCCATGTTATACAGGAGGCAACTGAGGCCCAGAGAGCAGAGGTCACTTGCCCAGATTCCCACAGACATATTTATCTAAGTGTCCTAAAATCTGTGCACATGGACATCCACCATGTTACCCCTGGGTAGATAATGACGACACACTCACACTAGGCTGTATCACGCTGTCACTCCAATTGGGAGGTGGCCTGCAGGTGCTGATGTGAAAAGAGCATGAAAGTGACAGGGCCAGCAGCAGACAAATGAGCCAAGGTGTGCAAAAGTAGGGTCACACATATTTGGTTTATGCTGGGATAGAAGAGTAGATGGACAGACCTTTACTTGTTAGCAGTCACGCAAATGCAATTTACTGGAGAGGTCATGGGACAAGAATTTTTACTTTGGCTTGTACACTTTTAGTGTTTGAATTTTTTTTTATAAGCATATACAGTGAATCCTCATTATTCACAGATACTGTATTTGAGAATTCACCTACTAACATTTATGTGTAACCCCAAACTCAATACTTGGAGCACTTTCCTGGTCATCTCGGTACACACAGAGAACAGCAAACTGTGAGTTGTTCGATGTGGACATTCCAAGTTGAGGTCAAATAAGGTAACTCTTCCTTCTTGCTTTACCTCTCATACTGCTAACAAGTGCCCTTTTCCCTGTCTATTCAGTGCCATGTTTTTTGCATTTTTGTGTCTTTTGTTAGTGATCTCTCTGTTTCAAATGGCCACAAGCATAGTGCTGAAGTCTGTCTAGTGTTCCTAAGTGCAAGAAGGCCGTGATGTGCCTTATGAAGAAAAGTTATGTTTTATTCAAGTATGAGTGCTTTTGGCCACAGGTTCAATGTTAATAAATCAACAATTTATTAAATTTATTAAATGGTGTCTTTCAACAGAAACACACATAAAACAAGGTTATGTTCGACCGGTTGGAGAAAACATGACCAGAGGCTCACAGGGACCTAACCCTGTATATCTCCTGCAGTAATGGTTCAGTATGCACTAATTCAGTATTTATGGCAACTTTATAGAATACAGCTACCATGAATAATGAGAATCAACTATATTACTTCGCCATTTTAAAAAGTTAAATCTGGAAAATAAAAAATACAATACAATGGAAAACAAACTACCTTACTGTAAGAACAAAAGAACTTTAAGAGAATACATGTTTAGAAAAAGTGTGGGAAATACAGCAAAATGCCAAGAACACCAATCGGGCAGGTGGTCTTCAGCCTGCAAGGTGCCCTGTGCCCACCTCTTGATGTTCCCACCCTATGCAGGCCCCTCCCAGTGGCCTCTCAGTGCTAGACTTGTGTTCAGTGGCAGAAGTGAGGGGATGGCACTTCCAAGGTCAGGTCTGGTCCTTGCTGGTGCTCTGTCTGGATCACTCACTCTGGTAGAAGCCATGTAGTTAACAGCACCTATGTGGCAGGTAACTGAGGCTTCTTGCCCAAAGCCACCGGAAGGAGCAGTGGGGTGCTGCAGCCTGGCAACAGCTAGACTGCAACTTCATGGGAGACTCTGAGCCAGAGCTACCTAGGTAAGCTGTTCCTGAATTCCTTATCCTCAGAAACCATGAGAGATGGCAAATGTTTGTCCTTTTAAACTGCTAATTATTGGGAAATTTTGTTACACAGCAATGGATAATTAATATGTAAATCTGTGTGTGCGTGCATACATGTGTGCACATATGTGTAAGAGAGACAATGGGGGGAGGGTGTGGAATGAGATTTCCTGGGAATATTTTCCTCTTTATTCTCTATACTGAACTTCCTGCAATGCACACTTTTCCACTTTTGGTAAATGAGGCTCAAAGCCTAGGTAGTTAGGGACTGTGAACAGTGGGTGGTGGCCCAGGCAGGGCCTCCCTCAGACAGCACCGCATCTGTATGTGGCCAGGCCAAGCTGGGAGGGAACTCACGTTTCAGAAATGCGGACGTAGTTTGGCGGGCACTCAAAGCGCAGGCAGCGGAAGCTGCCCTGGATATTGTAGCAGGTCTCAGCCTCCGAGCAGTTGTGGCTGCCCAGTGCACACTCATCCAAGTCTGGAGGGAAGGAAGAAGGGACAAGGTGAAGGATCCCCCTGGCTGCAGCATCCTGGCCTGAACCACTCCCACCCACACTAGAATCCAGAGTTCCAGAGCACTGGTCCTAACTTGGGAACCCACAGACTCATAGACCATCCTGTACCACACATGCCTTTCTTGTCCCTTCTGTACCCTGCCGCCATGGGGCCTTGCTTTGAAATGCAAATCATCTTACATTACCTCCTCAGAAGACTTCCCAGGCTCCTAAATGCCCTTAAAGTTCCCACCACAGACATCAAGCCACTGGATGGAGAGCCTTTGGGCTCCTTTTCTGAGCCTTTCCCCTCCCCTGGGCTGCAGTTCTGTTGGACTCCTGCAGGCTGCCCCAACACCTGGACGTTATGCCCACCTCAGGGACTTCACATATGCTATCCCCTTTGCTGGAACTTACCCTACATCCTCCTATAGTAGGCCCTTCTCATGTTTCAGATCTTAGCTCCCAACTACCCTACATGTCCCCTCTCCCCATCGTTCTCCATCCCACCCCATTTCATTATTTTCCTGCTACTTGTCACATGGTGAAGCACACCTCAGCTATTCTATATGTCTATCCTGTTTCCACAAGCCCTCTCCTCATCGTGCACTACAGCAGGGTGGGGATTTTTGTCTTTCTCACTCCTCCGGTGTCCTCAGTACCTAGCTCAATCCATACTGTTGTGAACAACCCATCAATTGTAAATAGACTCCAAGATCCATAGGTACAGAGGTCCCTGTAAACTGCAGATGTGCTTGTTTCATGTATACATCTAACATATGCAAATACCCATAGACATGTGTACACCCTCACAGGCACACAAGCACAGAAAGGCTCCTTCAGGACACGGAAGTATATATACACACAGTGAGAGGCACATGGGTCTGACTAGAGGTCAGAAAAGCAAGTGTGTGTACAGGAGTACGAGCATACGTGAAAGCCACAGGCCAACCTGTAAAACAAAAGGCCAAACAAATGGGCTCCAGAGGCCCCTACTGCAAGGGTAGCTGCTCTACTCAGAGGGCAATCACAGGGGCCCTGGGTTGTCCTGGGGGTCTGGTCTTGTCCAACTCTCCATGTGGACCGTGTATGGGAAGGTTTCCTCCTTAAATCCTAACCCCAGCCTTGCAAGGTAAATGCCACCAGCCTCCTCTAACAGAGAAGGGAACCAAGGCTAAGAGAAGAGGCCAGCTTTGTTCAAAGTCACACAGAAGATAGTGGGGCAGTTGAGGCAGGAAACCCAGCCTGTCTGATGTCAAGGTCTGGGATCTGATCACTATTTAAACTGATTCCTAACAAGAATAATAATGTGACAAGACATTATAGCAGCCAGAGTTTACTTCAGTATGTCCATGTGGTGCAAGGTAGTCAGCACTTACTGACTCACTTAACCTCACAACACCCCATAAGGCAGGCCCAGGGCACACACACACACCACTTCAGGGGCACAGTGGGCTCAACCTATAGCCTGCTCCAGACTGGGCCTGTCCACTTCATGCCCTGCTGCAGGGGTCAGCCCACATTTGTTCACCTCTCCAGGCCTTACTTTCATCCTGTGTAAAATGGGTCATGATCCCAGTTTCCCCGGGTGGCACAAAGACTGACGAGTGAACACATAAAAAGAAGCCTGATGGGGCGGGTCTCAGGATGGGCGGGTCTCTATCCTGCCGCTCTCATTAATTATATGACTCCACATGAACAGAGGGCCCCTTCTGTTCCTCAACCTATGACCTGGCCACCTACTTGGGTGAGCAGGAAGTTCTGAGCCATGGAGCTTAGGTGTGGGGTAAGGGTAGAAGTAGGAAAGGAATGGGGTGGTCTACCCTGGGTGGGAACTGACAGTTCATAGTCAGTGACTGTGGTCTCACTAAGTTCACAGGAAGCTGTCACAGGACCCCCTGTAGCCAAGAGGCCTGCCAGGGCCCGGGTGGCCGCAGCCTCTCCGTGAGAGCTCAGGCTAGGGGATATGCAAGCTGGGCACAAGGCTGTCTGTCCAGGAATGTCACTGCAGCCTCACCCATGACATCAGTCTCAACTCAGGTGTCCAGAAATAAGGGACAAAGCAAAAAACACACAGAAACATTACAGAACACAGCCACCAGAAAAAGCACCCAAAGGTTTTTGAAAGACCTGAGAAAATGCTCAAAGTATATCCAGAATAACTGCAATAGTCACTGCTCAAAGTCACCCCTTATTGAGTGGAGTGCTGAGAAGGGCTTCACTTACACGCACCTAAGAAAAAAGCAGGATTCAAGATTATTTCCTTTATGATTTTAGTTAGCATTATATTTCCTGTATATATGCTTGCATAAAGAAATGCTGGAAGGGATGCATCCACAGACAACCAGGAGCTGCCCCTTGGCTCCATCATATGATCATGTGTTTCATGAGTTCTACCACAGCACTGGGCACCACTCTAGGAGGTGGGACTCAGGACAGATATGCCCCTACTTTCATGAGTACAGGCTCTAGGGAGAGGATGCCTGAGTCTATATTTCTGAATATCTTTCCAACCTTTTATTTAATATTGAATAGGGGTAGGATTTGAAACATAAAGATTTTAAACATGGTTTAAAATCAGGAAGGGAAAGCATCAGGGTTGCATCTTTTCATCATACTTATTCAATCCGTATGCTGAGCAAATAGTCTGAGAAGCTGGCCTATATAAAGAAGAACATGGCATCAAAACTGGAGGAAGGGTCATTAATAACCTGCAATAGGCAGATGACACAACTTTGCTTGCTGAAAGTGAGGATGACTTGAGGCACTTCCTGATGAAGATTGAAGACTACAGGCTGCAGTATGGATTACACTTCAATATAAAGAAAACACAAATCCTCACAACTGGACCAATAAGCAGCATCATGATAAATGGAGAAAAGACTGAAGTTGTCAGAGACTTCAAATTACTTGGTTCTACAATCAACACCTTATGGAAGTAGCATTCAAGACTTCAGATGACATATTACATTGGGCAAATCTACTGCAAAATACCTCTTTAAAGTGCTGAAGAGCAAAGATGTCTCCTTAAAGACTAAGGTGTGCCTGCCTAACTCAAGTTATGGTATTTTCAATTGCCTCTTATGCATGTGAGAGCTGGAAAATGAATACAGAAGACTGAAGAAGAGTTGATGCTTTTGAGTTGTGGTGTTGGCAAAGAATACTGAAAGTACCATGGACTGCCAAAAGAAATTAAAAAATCCATCCTGGAAGAAGTGAAGCTGGAATGCTCCTTGGAAACAAGAATGGCCAGACTTTGTCTGACCTACTTTGGTCATATTGTCAGAAGGGACCATTCCCTGGAGAAGGATATTATGCTTGGGTAAAGTGGAGGGTAAGTGAAAAAGGTCCTCAATGAGATGGATTGACACAGTGGCTGCAACAATGGGCTCATGTATAGCAAGCATTGTGAGGCTGGCACAGGACTGGGCAGTGTTTCTATTGTACACAGGGTCACTGTGAGTCAGAGAAAACTCAACAAGACCTAACAACAACAACAACAGGGGTAAGATACTAATGGGAGAGAGTAGCCAGCCTATTTTTTTCCCCACGACCACCCTCCTCTTTGAGCTGCAGGACCCTGTTGCAGTCTGGATCAGAACAGGGCCAGAAAGAGCAAAGAGGGGGCTGTAGGTGTGGTAGGGATTAGAAGGCAGGGATCCATCCTGATCTTCTGCATCTCAGGAAGATAGCCCCTCACTCCCACCCTTCACATCCATGAGTGACAAAGCAGGCTATGAGGGGGCAGAGGAAAGGGATGCAGAGAGAGAAGGGCACAGCAAGCCCAGGTACCTCTAGGCTAAGGCCAAAGCAGGCCCTGCACCCCACCATGTAGAACCTAGTGTATGGAGGAGGTATGTGCCCAGGACCCTGTGCTGTCTAGTTACTGGCACAGGAACCCCCAGCCAGCCAGAGCTTAGCACAGACCCAGGAGTGGAGGGCCAGGGAGGAACCACCCTTCAACAGCAAAAACAACTGAAGCATTTGGCTGAGATTCCACAATCAGATGGAACAGGGCCACAGTGTCAAGGATGACATCAAGCTCTAGAAAAATAAAGTTGTTTCCTACACAGCTGAGTAAAATCCTTACATTTTACAGTGTCCACACTTATTACTTTTGTGTGTGTGTGTGTGTGTGTGTGTGATTTGGGTGAAAGTTACAGAGCAAATACACTTTCACACAGCAGTTCACATATACTTTGTCTCATGACATTCACTACAATTTACCCCAATGCAACAGCTCCCCTCCCACTTTCTCCCCATAATTACCTCTTCCCTGTGTCCATCCCTCCATGCACTCCTGCCCCCTGATCTGTCTCACTGTGCATAAACAGCCCTTCTTTCTCCCATGATTGTGCTCTCCAAGGAATGTATCTACCTCAGGTAAATGTTCAACTCATATGCCTGTCTTTTGTTTGTCTGGAAGCCATAGGCGTGGGTTCAATTCCAGACCTAGGAGTCATAGTCTCAGTGGTTCCACCAGGATCTATTTTTTCCAAATGATTTTGAGTTTCTTTCCACATTGTTTCTCCTCCCTATCCAGGATCTCCTACATAGATCCTCCTCCAAGATGGTTAACAGTGGTAGCTGGGCATCATCTAGTTCTTCTGGTCTCATAGTCGTATAGGTTGAGAATCGCATGGTGTACCAGTCGCTAGGACTAACTGTTTCCATGAATTTTTGGTTTTCTTCATTCTTCTTTGCTCTGGATGAGGAGAGACCTATTGTTGCATATAGATGGCTATTTGGAAGCTTTTAAGATCCCCGTCACTACTCACCAAAGTAGGAGGTGGAACAACGTTGTGTGTATTATGTTATGCCAATTGAGCTTGATGTGCCCTGCAACTATGTTCCTGAGCCCAGAGGTTCAACTACTCACTCCCTCTGGGTAGCTGGCTGTGACCAAGCAGTGACTACAACCTTGCCCCTTGTCAACTCTACTATATACCTGGGAATTCAGATCATGCACATACACTTATAGGAC